GGGTGCCAGCGAGACTGACAAGAGAGATAAAGAAAGATGACCCAGTGGATGCTGAGTGTCCTCCAAGGGAAGATTCATGCGGAGACAGCAGAGATGACCTTCTGGGCGGTGCCAAGAGCAGCTGTTTCACACCATCGACTTGAGCAGCACCCTGTGCAACCTCTTATCTCTTAACAATTTTCTGACTGACTCTACTTTGCCTTTTCCTTCCTTAGGAATGGGTGGGAGCAGAGATATTCTTGGCATGCTGTGTCTAGGTGGAAGTGCTGTATGTCTTTGATTGGTGTGCTACCTGCTAGCCCAAGTGTGGTGGGGACCAGATTGAAAAATAGTTTTGCCTTATTGCTCTTATTAACAAGAGAAGAGGGAGATGTTGGGAGCCACCTGGAGGCACAGGTGGTCCTGCAGTTTGGAGGTAGCCATGTGGGGCTGAGCACCCCTGCCTGCACCCTTGCCTGCACATGCTCAGACCAGCAGAATGGCATTAACCAATCAGGACAGCGTTCAAGCCGCTCCACCGTTTAAAAGCAGCTGCCTCGGGGCCCAACGCTCTCTCTCTAAGCTTTCTCTCGTCCCTGCTCTATCTTCCCTTCCCCCAATTTTCCTCAAGGGAATGCTCCAAATAAAGATGTGACCAGAGAAGGAATTCTCGTTTTTGGTGGCGTTCATTCCTGCGGGACAGGATGGCCCCCCGCAGTCCTCCACCCAGAAAACGCTAGACCTGCTTGGTGCCCTTTTTACAGAGGTGGGAGTTAGGCACCGACCCATGTGCAATCAGACTTGTTCCTCTTGAGATAGATATAATTACCCTCAAGTGAAGTGCGCAAGCCTCGCATCCTGTGCTTATATGTTTTTTAAAGTAGTTAACCAAGCTTGGGGGGACTGTCCTGCTTCAATAGCCATGAAGGCTTGAATGATCATTGCTGCATTGCGACGTTGTGAGGCCCTCATGTGACAAATGCACCACAGACATACCAGAAAGGCAAGCATCATTAGGCCTGTCAGGGCTCCTATTCCCGCCCACTCCTTAAAATAACTAAAAGTTTGTTTCAGCATATTAAGAAAAGCATTAGCAGTAGGTAATTCTAGCTGTGTGGCATTCAGGAAAATAATCTGGTTGGTCAAGGTGTCCGTCAGGTTCTTGAACTCCTTGCTCCAGTTTCCCTGGAGGTATGCGCTCAGCTGCCGGCTCAGGTTACCGTTCTTTGTAAAATTTTCAGCCAATCTGGAAATTGGAGAAATTTCCAATCTGGAAAGAGGAGAGGGAATGAATACATCCTACACTGGTTAAGGTTACTAAGTCATCCACTTGCTCTTGCAAGAGGTCTACTCTTTGGTTTACTGTCAAAATGCCAGCTTTTAAATGACCATTGATGGATTTCAAAGTGGTCATTGTGGAGGCTGTCCTCTCCACGATTTCATTAACTGTCTCTGCAATCTGAGTTGTTGCAGCCATGGCAACAGCAGTTGTCGTGGCAGCTGCAGCAGATACAGCAATTGTGGTGACTAGGGTCACTGTTATCCCAAAGTCTCGTTTTGTTCTGAGCAGATGAGCGATTGGGAAGGTACTGGTATCAACTCTGACTGGGATGGGAACATATGTGGGAACTCTCATCACCACAGCTGTGTTATAGGTACCATTCCAGCACTGACTAGCGAGGCAAGTTGCCTTAGAGGAATTACAATAGATCACATCCTCTGCGGCATTGGTGATATTAGTCAGCAAATAGAAGAAGGGTGCCTTTAAGCACAGTGGACTGGCGGAAACAGTAACATTGTTCAACATTTTATTTATAGTAACATTTGAGAGAATTCCCTTCCTATCTCGGCTGGCAGAGATGTTAAGGAGCCGAACAGTCAAATTACGAAGGGCAACAAAAGGCTCTAGGGATGAAAAGGCCCCTCTTTCATTGGAAAGAATCCATTGAAACCAGGGCCATGTGTTCTTCTTATTAGTTTTCTGATTAGTCCGATTAGCAAGACTAAAGGAGTACCTTCCTAAAGGAGGGGTAAATTCAAAACCTGGTGCAATCTGCTTTGACTTATGATCTGGGCTTTGACACGGTGTCCAATGAGGGGGGTACCCTAAATTAGGGGCACAATAAGGTAATACTTGTCGGGCGGTAGAATTCCCTAATCCAATGCATGAGCTTGAAGGCCGAAGCCCTTCCATCAACATCAATAAGGTAGTAATACTTGTGGCATTACCACCGTTTTTACCGCTGCCTGTGCCCGAGGAAGCACCCGTATTTATTGTTCTCAGTGCTTCCGCGAGCATGGCGAGAGGAATATGATTATCGGTCAACGGGTCAAGCCAATTACCCACAGAGCTATTTTTCAACCATATACGTGGGTTAGAATTATTTTCAAAAGAAAAACATAAGGTTCCTTGAAGAGGAACATCAGTTGAATTATACATAGCCATGCTAGGGTCTAAATTTACGCAGGGTAAGCCTAATTCACAACTAGTGGAAAAAAACACAGGTAAAACTTTTGATGTAGAATGAACAGGTATAGGAATTGGCCATGCTTTTGCTATGGCCCACAAGATTTGTTCATTGGCCTGGGTCAACAACGGGGACATCAGGACCGTCACCATCAGTAGGATCACAGTCTGAGGCTTCATCTTGCTTGTCATTCCTCTGCACTTGTACTTTCCTCACCAGGCGCTCCGGTACTCAAATAGGGTCCAAATGATCCTGTGGAAAAACACAAACAGAGCCTCGTGCCCATGCCAGCATGGGATCAGGGCCATGCCAGACCCCTGTCATAGCGTCTTTCCATTTTATCAATCCTTTTAACGGACTGGATGGGCAAGAATGCCTGTCCGCTGCAGACTGATTGGTATTATCCAAATTCAAAAAATTAAGTGTAAACAAAGAAAGTCTATTCTTAGGGGTCGGTCTGTTGATGACCTATTCCCCCTTTTTGTTTTTGAAGCAATTCATTTAAAGAGCGATGAGCACGCTCCACAATGCCTTGGCCTTGTGGATAATAAGGCAGTCCATGTATGAGTTGAACACCCATGCGTTGACAGAAGGAGGTGAACTTTTGTCCCATATAAGTGGGACCATTGGGGTTTTCTAGACAATGAGCAATCACTTGGGTTGCCTTTTCACCTGTCATGGGTGTGTCATGGATAATGCCAGAGCACATATCCACGGAGACATGTACGTATTTTACTTTGCCAAACTCAGAGAGATGGGTAACATCCATCTGCCAAAGTTTAAGGGGGAGCAATCCACGCGGATTAACCCCTAAAGTTTGAAGGTGATGATGTATGACACATTGTGGACAATCCACAACCACCTTGTGTGCATCAGCAGGGAAATGGCAAATTTTTGTTGTAGGGTTTTGACGTTAACATGAAACTCTTTATGAAAATCATGAGCCCTCTGCAGGGCAGAGGCAAGAAACATCCATTCTTGTCTAGTATACTGATCAACTTTGTCATTGCCAGCAGCCAGAGGGCCTGGCAAACCTGTATGTGCACGAATGTGCTGTACAAAGAAAGGATTCTTATGTTGCCAGAGTAATAGCTGTAATTGTGTAAATAACCTATGTACAGGGCTGGAGGATTTAATAGGTCCAGTGCACTCAAGGTATTTTAAGGCGTTAACAACATAACAAGAATCTGAAATCAAATTAAATGTAAATGGACAGGATTTAAACACCTCAACCACGATTGCTAGCTCCACTTGCTGAGGAGCCCCAGGAGAAAACTGATATTTAACAGGTTCTGCGGAATCCACCATGTAAGCACCACAGCCAGTCTTAGATCCATCTGCAAATATAATACTGGCTCCTGGAATGGGCCGTAAGGCAGTGATTTTTGGAAAGACTACCGGATGTTCTTTAAAAAAGGTTAACAGTGGATGCTTAGGAAAATGACAATCGATGCACCCAGAATAGGAGCACCGTAAAATAGCCCAATCATCAATAGTGGCACATAAAATGTTAACTTGATTAGTATCATATGGGGTGACTATTACACATGGTGCAACTCCAAAATGTTGCAGGCAAGCTTGAATGCCTTGCTGAGCAAGCAAAGCGACAGCAATAGGATAATACTCTATGGATTTCGCGGGGGAAATCCTGGGATGAATCCAAAGTAGTGGTCCTTCCTGCCACAGAATACCTGTGGGTTGTAGATTAGTGGGTAAAATGCATAAAGCAATATCTTTTTTAGCCTGCACCCGTTTTAAAAAGGCTTTAGATAATTTTTCCTCTATAAGAGAGAGTGCCTGTCGAGCTTCACTGGTTAACTGTCTGGGAGAATCTAGAGCTACATCGCCAACTAAAATATCATACAACGGTTTTAACTCATAATTTGCCATGCCCAAACTGCCCCTGATCCAATTTATATCTCCCAATAATTTTGAAAATCATTTAATGTATGCAAATGATCTTTTCTTAATTCTACCTTTTGTGGTATAATTTGATTATATGTTATTTTAGAGTACTGAAGCTGCCAGTCCGGCACTGGTGAATGGACCTCCTAATTCTCTACATGCTCTCATCCAGACTTCTAATCCTCTATTTTTATGTGGGGTGATAGCCGCTCTGCACTCCTGGGTACATTGTTCACACACCAGCTGCTTGACAAACGGCATAGCCGTGTCCGGGTCACCAAAGATCTTTCCTGCCGCTTCTACCATCCTAGCCACATAATCAGAAAAAGGCTCCATAGGCTCCTGAAGGATCTTAGTCAAATTACCAATTACCTCCCCTTTATTAGGTAAGGTCTTCCATGCTCTTGTGGCAATGTTATTAATTTGATCATACACTCGAGGAGGATATCCATTTTGCTCGTTGGCAAACCTGCCTTGTCCAAGCAACATGTCTGTGTCCCAGACTGCTTGTGCCCCTCCAGCTGCTTATTGCAGCCTGAGCATTGGCCAATTCAACTAAAAGAGCTTTCCAATCTAGATACTGGCCAGGGGACAAACATGCTCGTGCTAGGTTCATCCAATCAGCTGGAGTCAAGGCGTATGTAGAGCTTCCACTTGGGCCACCATAAAGGCGGCTGTAGTGCCATAAGTCCGGACAGATTCTGCCAATGTCTTGATGACCTTAAAATCCAAAGGCTCATGGAATCGATTGCCTTGTGGATCCTGAAATTCAGGAAATGCTGAGGCCGTCATCATTTCTGCCCTGACTTCTCTCCATACCTTAGGATTGAAAGAAATCCCTCCCTCTGCTCCTATAACCTCCGGATACTGGGGTGGAGCTGAAGGGGTTACAGTCCTGCGCATGCCTTTAGATGTCTTATTTTTCCCTCCGTTTCCCCTTTTCTCGGAGATTTTCATTCTTTTAAATGTTTTCCTAAGGGTTTCTCTATCTTCTTCATCCATTTCTGTCTCTGTGTCTGGTGTCTCTGGGTCTGGCCCTGTCTCTGAGCTCAAGGAGACAGAAGAGTCTGATTCCTCCAATTCTGACAGGCTAGGATATAATCGACCCTTTTGCTTTTCCTGGGCCCTTTCCTTCTTCCCTCTACCTGAATCTGTATTAGATGCCACATCAGACTTTGCCTTTTTAGAGGCTGCCGTTTCTGAAGCTGCCCTCTCTGAACGTTCCTCCTGTAATATCTCTAAGACCGCTTGGCCATTTTCTACTGCTTCACTGCACTTTCGATCCTCGAGTCAGCTTTTCACTAATTTCCAGATAGGTCTTACTCCAGCCTTAAGCATTCCCTGTTCTGCAGAAAACTCAAGGTCTCTACCTAGCTTTTCCTATGACGGAGTTGTAAGCTTCCCGGAGACTGCAAACCAAAGTGCAGTGGTATCACATTCCTCCAGGAACCTCCCTAAGGTACTTTTCTTAAGTTTTAGATTTTTTGAACGAAGCAGCTCGTTCAAAGCCAGAAAAATTGGGTGAAAAGGAGAATTCCTCATGTCTGTTCACTGAGGATCCTCAATACACTCCCTACAAAAATAAGTAAAAATGATGAACCAGAACACTGTATTCAAGAGTACCCAAGCTGCTAAAAGCAGGTAGTAGTCCATCAACAGTATCAGGCAATTTTTCTTTCAGTTTGTCGGGCTAGGGAACCCAATGTGCTCTACAGACTTGTAGCCCTTCCGCTGTAGTAAGCTCTACTTTCACTTTCGATTTGTCCCCTCTAGTTGCAGCTCTACTTCCCCGCTCTCCCTTTGTTGACAGGCGAGAGCAAATAACCCACTTTGGTTGCGGATCCCCAATCTTACCTTGAGGACTTACCGGTGCACCCCCTGACTGCTGCAAGTTCTGGGCTCCAGGGAGAGGAGAGGAGAGTACCCCGTAAGGGCCACCACCTGTTGCGACCGCCTCGACCAGCAAGGAAGATGCAACACAGGAGCTCTTCTTGCAAGCAGTTTACTCAGGACCTGTTACAATAGCTTCTCTCTCTGGGCAAGTCCCTCCCAGCCCTTAAATAGCCCTGAGCAGCCAATCCTGGATCACCACGTGGGCACTGACCATAGGTCCACTTATACGCAAGCAGCTTACGATCATCGATCATCGCATGATCCTGGCCTTAGCCAAATAAGGTGTTGTTTACCACAGAGAGCGCTAGCTTTTGCGGAAGGGGGAAGTCGGCACCATCTTTTAGGTGTGGCTCCACGCAGCTCTCTACAGGGAGATTTTTAAAGTTTGCACTTTGTACTGTGAATAGCATGAGATCCTGGAACTAAACAAGAAAGGAAAATGTCATGCTTTAGTTGTAATGTACTTAGGTGTCAAGTTGACTAGGGGTCTGTGTTCTGGTTAGTTTTTGTGACACACACTGGAGTAATCTGGGAAGAGGGAACCTCAATTGAAAAATTTCTTCCATCAAATTGATCTCTGAACAAATTTCTGGGGCATTTTCTTTTTTCTTTTTTTTTCTGAATTTTTATTTTTATTTTTTCAAAGTTTATTAAATTATAAAAGTTTCCATTTCCGCCCCTCCTCCCAACACCCTCCCACTCCCCCCACTCTCTCTCCTCCTCCCTCTCCATCCCTAAGAGCAGTCAGGGTTTCCTGTCTGGGGCATTTTCTTAATGTATAACATGGGAAGGCCCAGCACATTGTGGATGGGGCCACCTTTGGGCAAGTAGCCCAGGGTTGTATAAGAAAGCAGGTTAAGCAAGTCCTGGCTAACAAGACAGTAAAGCAGGGACTCTCCATGGTCTCTGCTTCAATTCCTTCCTCCAGGCTCTTGCTTTGGGTTCCTGCCTTGGCTTTCCTCCCTAGTGGACCACAGCCTGTAAGCCAAATAAACTCTTTTCCCTTAAGTGAACTTTGGCCACATTTCATTACAACAACAGAGAAGCAAACTAAAACAAACCACCAGCCCCTGCAGGGAGAGTCAGTTCTTTAAGAGTGTGGTTCCTGGTGAATTGACCATGCTCCAGAGGGTGGCCTCACCCGATAGATTTACCTACATCCCAAATCGTACTGGGTAGGCGTGCATAAAGGGACCAATCTTGTGGAACCATAGCTGCAGGATTTCCATGGCTTGGAGCAATAGCAGGATTTAGGAGAGAAATTCCAATGAGGCTCCAGTATTGATGGTGTGCCAGGAGCCCTGAACCAGACTAATGACTCATTGTAACGAGCATTTGCAAGTAAAGCTGTTTGGACTAAAGGGTGTACTGTGTGGCACATCCCAGCTCCCCAGGCCACTGCAACAAATGAATACGCGATGGAGAGGTGGGAGAGATGGAGAAGTAAAATGTTTTTTTTCCCCTAGGGACAGGCTCCAAGGGTAGAGAGGGCAGAAATGGAAGCAATTAAAAGTGAGTGGGATTGGGGTGTATGATGTGAAATTCCCAAGAAATCAATAAAAAAGAATTATGTTAATAGGAAAGAAGACGGCAATTTGGGAGCAAGGTAAGGGCTGAGTCTAGGAGGATTTAAAGGAAGGAAAGGGGGTATGAATGTGTTGAAAAACATTGCATGACACTCTCAAAGAAGTAATAAAATATTATATTAAAACATTCAGCTCTTCTAGGGGGTTGGGATTTTGGCCTTCAAGTTGAAAGAGCATTACTAAGTCTCAGGCAGTCGAGTTGCTGACAGGCCCCAACCTTCAGTTCCTGCCTTCAGTTCATCCTATCGAGGGAGTGATTTATTGTTGGCTCTTTTCGGTTAGAGAAAACTGAGTATCCTTTGTCTTTTGTGGTTTGTCTTTTCTAGACCAGGGTTCAGTCCAGGATTATGTGTTCAATTTAGCTTTCCTATGTCTGTAGTCTTCTGTTAACTGGAACAGTTCCTTAGCTTATCTTTTCCTTCCACACCATTGACATCTTTGAAAACCTATGAGAGTTGGTTTTATGAAGGTGTGTGTGGGTGCTTCTGATATTTTTCCATGATAATACTCAAATTTTACATCTTTGGTGAAATACTGCATAAAATCACATTGTTTTCTACATGTGCCTATGTACCTTATTGATAACACTTTTATTAGTTAAATTTTTCATGCAATACATTTTGATCATATTCTTTCCCTTCCCTCAAGCCATCCCAGATGATTCTTTCTGCTCTTTATGTATCCCAAAACATAAAACAAAAGCCCAACAAAACAAAACATAAAAAGGCAAAACACCAAGCCACAAGCACCATCGCCACAACAAAGCACATAAATATATGGAGTCCATCTTGTGTTTGTCAGCTGCTCCTGACCACAAGACCTGCTCTGGACCATCTACAGAAGACCTTTGAGCCTACTCCTCCACAGAGATCCCTTCGCCTTGAGGGCAGCACTTTAATATAGACATCCATGTTGAAATGAGCTGCTTGGCCATCCCGGTCTCCCAGAACCGAAATAATCACACAGAAACTGTATTATTTAAATCACTGCTTGGCCCATTAGCTCTAGCTTCTTATTGACTTACTCTTACATCTTAATTTAACCCATCTCCATTAATCTGTGCAACATCACGAGGTCATGGCCTACCAGCAAAGTTTCAGCATGTCTGTCTCCAGCGGCAGTTCCATGGCTTCTCTCCAACTCTGCCTTCCTTCTCCCAGCATTCAGTTTAGTTTTCCCTGCCTAGCTCTGTTCCCAATAGCTCTGCTATAGGTCCAAAGCAGTTCCTTTACTAACCAATGGCATTCACAGCAAACGAAGAGGAATCCCACATCACCTCTAACTGAGGATTGATGCTCCATGGCCTCTTGTGGGTCTCTGTATTAATTTCCATCTATTGCAGGAAGAAGTTTCTCTGATAAAGGTGGAGTGGTGCAGGAAAGTGTGGGCATAGCAATACTGATGATGTGTTTTTGATGGCTTGTTTATGCTGGGAGTAGCCCTGTTCTGTTAGGCCTAGTGTTTTGCTTTGAGAAGTAATAGTGATTTGTGGGAAGATGCAAAGACATGATGATGCTATACAAGTCATCTTCCCTTTTAAACCTTTTGTCACTAGATCTGTCAACCATTGATGATTCTTGCTTGAATAAATTTCACAAGGATGATTGTAAAAATAGATTTTAAAATAGTTTTTTATGATTATTATGTGGTACTTTTGCTGTAAGAAATCACTCTTTTCCACTTAGTTTGTTAAAAGGGCACAAGAATTCATATTTAAGTAAATATAAATGTAAAAAAGACCATATATGACCTTCTGTATTTATTGTGATGATAAAAGCATTCTAAATTTAATGAGTAATAGTCCCTTCAAAACAGCTGCTGGACCAGTTAGTCCTCTGTAACTTTTGGAGTACTGCTCTTTCTTTTTTTTCTGATACAAGAAGCTGTATCTGATTAGTTTGGTATTTCCCATGTTGCAATCTTGGGGTGCAGCAATGTTTCCAGGAGTCCTAATTCTGTCAGTGGCAACAGTATTTAAAACAAAGGTCTGTGTGGTGTTATGTCTTTTTAAAACAAAGTCAGTGGTTGGAATGAACAAGCAGTGAACAATAATGGAGCAATTATTCTGACAGACAGACACTATATTCTATATTGGAATGAAGTTTGCCCACCAGTTGCTGGAACTGAGGGAATGGGGCACATTTAATAAAGAAAATTAACAAAATTTTATAGTTGAGTTTTAGTTTAGAAAAGACTCATTGAAGTCAAGAAAAGGAAGCTGTTAGTCTGTGATTTTGTTTCCAGTGAGTGGTGCTACTTTTGTTGCAAGAAACATCCTTGTGTTGCCCCTTCTACAAAGGAATGAGATCATTTATGCCTTACTATGTCACCAAGTGACCAAGTAGTGACAGTAACAAAGTAGACTTGACATATATTGCAGATAGTTAAAAATGTAATATTGATGCAATTGAAGAATTTAATAAATGGCAGTTGTTCAGCTTGGAGACACTGGCAGCGCAAAGGTCAGACCTGTGACAGTTGCTGAATCCCAAGGAGTAGAACAGCACTGCACCCTGAAAGTGGAAAGAAATCAGGGGGTGTCGCCATTGAAGGATACAATATACAAATGAAAATCTCTGTCTAGAAAAACTAAGAAATAGTTAAGGACTGGAGATACAGACCAGTGGTAAGCTACTTGCCTAGTATGCAACTCTGCGTTCAATTCTCAGCAGAGAGAAAGTCAGTTAAAATGTATAAAACTCCATAAATAACAAGTTACTCCATTAAACCCCAAAACAATGAATTATAAGAACAAGTATGTTTAAATTGCCTGTAGGCTACTAGGAATGAATTTAGTCATTGGTCTTTGATGATTATTTTTTCTTTAAGGCAGAGAAAACTTAATTATGAAACTTACTACTTCAATAAAGATAATGATATTAATAATGCAATAATCATATTAATAAAAGTTACTAAAGCATATTGCCTGTAATTATGGAGTGTAGGATGGAGATCGGTATTGTGGGCAAAAGGCTGGATAATGATGTCACTTATAAAGGCTCAGACTGCATCCTGAGAAAGGTATTTTGAATTCTGATGCTGAACAGGAAGTAAAAAGGGTAAAAATACTTTGATACTCTCAGAATCTGAAGAGGACCCATGCTGATTTAGGGAGAGAGAACAAAGACCCTACATACTGTGGTTAGCTGGAAAAAAAGAAACTCACTGTTTCGCTCAGCTGTTTCCTCTTAGCAAGCAAAGAGGAGAAAGCTGGGTTTTTGCAGAACATGTTGAGGAAGGCAAAGTAGAAATCAATAGATAATACTCTTGCTACCTAATGATTTTACTGTAAGCGGAAAATTGATAGTGAAATGTTTTGTGCAATTTGCTAGAAACTCAGAATAGGACCTGTATGGCTGCACAAAAATGAATTCCAGGCCAGAGAACTACGAAGAGAGCACATATCATAGTACCACTCATATGATGTGGACTGAGGGGACCCATCAGCTCCTCAGTGACTAGAAGTTGGAAATGCCTTTACGAACTTCCTCTTTTCTGTTTGTGGTTATAGACAGGGGCCGATGTCTTAATTC